GGAAGGCCGGGCCGGGCAGGCCGCGAGTGCGTCCTGACCTCCGCCCTCTGCAGATGACCTGGCCGACGAGATGGAGGACGTGGACTTTGACGACGAGGGGGCAGAAGAGCCTGACGCCGAGGCTTGGGAGACGGAGGATGACGAGGGGGTGGAGGAGGGCATGGAGGCGCAGGACGACAGCGAGGTCACCTTCTCCCTCCACTCGGGTGAGTGGTGGGCACGGGCAGTGGCAGCTGGGGTCCCCTTGGGACCTGCTCCCACCTTGGCTTTCCCCAGAGTAAGGGGGTGCAGCAGGCCGCTGCCAGGCTGCCGTCTCCCGGCCGTTCCCGGGACAGCCATCCCCACTCGGGGCTACGGTGCTTTGGGCTTCCCTTGTTTCTAGCTTATGCTCGGGCAGAGAAGCCCTTCGAGCCTCCTACCATGGCAGCTCACCCTGAGCTCGGCAGACAGCCTGTGCTGCTCTTCCCCCATGGGAACAATAAATGCCCCTTGGTTTGGGTTGGGAGTTCAGCTCACTGACATCCCGCCCAGACCTGGCGTTGCGTGGGGTTTGGATCCCCTGGGAATGTCAGGTGGGGCATGAGCGGTGTCTGAGCCACGTAGCCTCTCTCTTCTCTTCTGGGAAGCTTCTGTTTTCTGTGTGAGCCTCGACCCCAAGACCAACACGCTGGCGGTGACAGGTGGGGAGGATGACAAGGCCTTCGTGTGGCGTGTGAGCGACGGAGAACTCCTGTTCGAATGCTCAGGTGAGGTACTCGAGGCTGGCTGAGTGAGCGGCTGCATCCCCTCCCAGCCATGTCTCTCCAGAAACGCTCTTCACCAGCCGATGCCCTGCTGGAGCTGGGCTCCTGGCCATCCTCCGTAGCTTGGCCTGAGCAGTCTCTGTCCCCTGACGTCTCTAGGACACAAGGACTCAGTCACCTGTGCCGGCTTCAGTCACGACTCTGTGTTTGTGGCCACGGGTGACATGTCTGGGCTTATCAAAGTGTGGCGGGTAGACACCAAGGAAGAAGTGTGGTCCTTTGAGGTGGGGGACTTGGAGGTGAGCAGCTGTGAGGAGCTCATGGGCTGGCAGCTGGGACTCAGGTGGGTGGCGGGGGGACACGCCACCCCCGTGACACTGCCTGTCCCTCTCTCTGCCCAGTGGATGGAGTGGCACCCTCAGGCCCATGTCCTTCTGGCGGGCACAGCTGATGGCAACTCCTGGATGTGGAAGATCCCCAGTGGAGACTGCAAAACCTTCCAGGGCCCTGCGTGCCCGGCCACATGTGGCAGGATCCTGCCTGATGGTGAGGCGCGGGCCTATCGGGTGGGGAATGTCACCAGCTCTGTGACAGATCCTGTGGCCACCATCTGCCCTCCTGCTTCCGCCAGTCTGTGCTGAGCAGGAGGCGGAGGGATGAGGGGAGCTCTGGCTCTATCCGCTGGCTCTGTCTCACCCAGGGAAGCGAGCGGTGGTAGGGTACGAGGATGGGACCATGCGCATCTGGGACCTGAAGCAGGGAACCTCGCTGCATGTCCTGAAAGGTAGGGAAGAAGTTAATCACCTGGGGTGCTCCCTAATTGGGGAATGGCCCCTTCCAGTGGGCTCTGACCTCTGCCTGGGTGGCCAGGGGCTGCCGGAGGGAGCCTGGCACTGGGTTTCCCTGTCCCCACAGGTGGCTGCTCCTTGCCACGGGGGTGCTGGCAGAGCTGGGCAAGGTGGAGGCTGCAGGAGGGTGGGTTTTGAGTCCCACCGGGTCTCTGTGGGGAGGACACGTGGAGCTCATGCCTTTCCTGCTCACCCCCCAGGCCAGGATGGCCACCAGGACCCCTTGACGTGTGTGGCCAGCAACCAGGATGGCAGTTTGATCATGACGGGCTCTGTGGACTGTCACGCCAAGCTGGTCAGCTCCGCCACAGGCAAGGTGGGTCCGTGTGGGCGAGGGTAGAGTCAGGAGCCCTGGGGGACCGGCCTCCCAAGCCCCTGTCCTCGGCCAGGCTGGTGTCTCCTTGTGATTCAGGGCTCTGCTGGCTCTGAGCAGCCCGTGGTGGCCATTGGCAGCCAGCAGGAGGCGCCCTTGGCCAACACAACCGCTTCCTCCCAGGTACTGGTGGGACCTTGTAGCTGGGTGGTCCCGCTGGGCTTATAGAAGGAAGTTTTCCCCCTTGCTTGCTCCGAGGAGCTGAGGTTTTGGGGTTGGGCCTTGGCGACCAGGGTGTGTAGGCTCGATCCCAGGTAAGGAAGGGGACCTCCATGCAACTGGGAGTCCCCTTGGCGACTAGGCAGCCTTCCTCCACCCAGGTGGTGTGTGTCTTCAAGACTGAGAGCATGGCCCCCAAGGCCCCTGCCGGTGAGAGCGAGGAGGCAGAGTCCAACTCAGTGGAGTCGCTGGGCTTCTGTAATGTGTGAGTGTGGGGACAACCCCTCTTCAGTGCTGGATCTTACAGGGGTTGTTACAAACATCCATTTCCATCCCTCGCGCTCATTCTGCTGCATTTCTCTCGCCTCCATCCTCCTCGGCTGGTTGTGAAGATCCCGGGTCACTTGGGTGTGACAGAGAGGACACACCAGTGGCTTAGTCCTCCCCCACTAACCTGTTGGGTTTCTGTGCTAGCCTGAGGGACCGCTGTTTGGCCGGGATACCCTCCAGACATGGCTGCTGGGGATCTTTCCTCCCAGGATGCTGTTTTCTCCCTCATGAACCTCAGGCTGCTTGCTGACTCTCACTGTCCTGTGGGGTTTCCTGATTGGGGTGTTTCATGGCTCCAGTCATTAGGTTGTCCCTCATCTTGATGGGCTGTAGCCCTCAGCATAGGGTTTGCCTTCAGTCTCGATCCTTCATGTGCTTCCATCCCTGCTTCCCCCAGGCCCATGTAACGCCTGTTCCCCTCTCTGCAGGATGCCACTGGCCGCTGTGGGCTACCTGGATGGCACGCTGGCTATCTACGACCTCTCCACACAGAGCTTGAGGCATAAGTGCCAACATGAGGTACTGCCCTACCCCGCCTCCCTAGGTCCTGGGGGGTAAGGGGGGGCAGTCTTTGGGCCCATCCGAGACCTCCCTTGGAGCCCAGGGGCTTTCCTGGGGACAGTTCCCAATTTGTGCTTCTCCCTCAGCCCCTTGGGGCTTCCCAGAGGCAGCCGCAGCCCTGCGTGCAGGATGTGCCCCATAACCTGGCCTGAGGGCTGGCTTTCCTATCTTTGGGGATGGCAGACACCACCAGGGGGGCACGTGGGGGATGCTGAGACTTCCTAGGGGTCCCCAGTGCTCACCCTGTGGCCTCTCGCCGCCCCAGTCGGGGATTGTGCAGTTGCTGTGGGAGGAGAGTTCGGCCGTGGTGTATACCTGCAGCCTGGATGGGGCCGTGCGGCTCTGGGACGCCCGCTCGGGGAAGATGATCAGCGAGTACCGAGGGCACTCGGCTGAAATCCTTGACTTCGCCGTCAACAAGTGAGCAGGGAACCCCTAGACCCCTTCCCTGATGGGTGGAGGGACCAGGTGTGGTAGGGGCCTCCAGCCTCGGGAACTCAAATCATGAACTGTCTCTCCTTTGGGTGCCCCTGGGGTCTGGTCCCAAGGGTGGGGACAGACCCAGGTCCACACTGAGACTTGAGGGTCTCAAGGGGGAAGGGGGGCAGATCAGAGCTGGGCTAGGGGCAGTGGTGAGGGATGCTCAAAGCCCCAGCCCCATCTCTGAGCCCTGTCTCCCCTCAGGGATGCCTCCATTGTGGTGACGACCTCTGGCGACCACCAAGCCAAAGTGTTCTGCGTCCAGCGCCCCGATCGCTAGGAACTGTGCTGAGGGATGGTGTCCTGGCTCTGCCAGGTGGCTTGTGTACAGAGGGACGAGGGAGAGGGGTTTCACCCCCCTTCTCCAGTGCGTGCTTTGTAATTTTCCAGCCTGCCCCGCTTTGCCCTCACCTACTGGGGGCTGAGCTTGGGGTTTTGTATGAAAACGTCTTTTAATTATATAAATTATTTCACTTAACTGGATGCCATCCACTCTGCTTGTTGGGGGGAAGAAGATCTGGGGAGCTGCGTTTCCTCCCTCCTCAGGGATCTCCCCAGCATCCAACCACAGCCTGAGGATCAATGGCAGACAGGTTTGTACTGGTCTGCATGGAGGCAGTGACCCTCATCCTAGCTCTCCCTGCGAGGGGGGAATGAGAGGGTCATGCTAGGAGGGAAGGGTGCAGATGGCTAGCTGAGGGTAGCAGAATCCTGCTCTGTGCAGCCAAGGAATTCCCTAACGCAACAGGCTACTCACGCCGAGACCTGGGCACAGCACCCGCATGACACTGATGGCCAGAAGTAATTTGCTCTGTGATACATCAATTATCCCCCTTGCGCCTGCGACTCCAAGCACATCTTCCAAGGCAAGGCCACATGCATTGACAAGCCAAAGCCCCACAGCCCCTTAAGATAGAAAGATCTCCTTTATTAATGAACCCCAACAGTATTTCTTCAGATACAGGAGTTTTGAACTCAAATACTCAGAAGAAAACAAGTTAATATTGCATTATTCTCATAAGAAATACTGCAACTTATTTCTGGTAACATATTGCAAAGCGAAACAGCTTGAAAAGAAAAAAAAAATTAAAAAAGAAAAGAAATTAAGTCAATCAAACTGGAATTAAGGTTTTGTTTCTTGGAACGATCGAGTCCTCGCAAGCACAGCTCGTTTCTGCAGATTACTCCCCAAACTGTCGTACAAACAGACCCCGATTGCTTGAATTGCTGGTCTGCATGGAGGCAGTGACCCTCATCCTAGCTCTCCCTGCGAGGGGGGAATGAGAGGGTCATGCTAGGAGGGAAGGGTGCAGATGGCTAGCTGAGGGTAGCAGAATCCTGCTCTGTGCAGCCAAGGAATTCCCTAACGCAACAGGCTACTCACGCCGAGACCTGGGCACAGCACCCGCATGACACTGATGGCCAGAAGTAATTTGCTCTGTGATACATCAATTATCCCCCTTGCGCCTGCGACTCCAAGCACATCTTCCAAGGCAAGGCCACATGCATTGACAAGCCAAAGCCCCACAGCCCCTTAAGATAGAAAGATCTCCTTTATTAATGAACCCCAACAGTATTTCTTCAGATACAGGAGTTTTGAACTCAAATACTCAGAAGAAAACAAGTTAATATTGCATTATTCTCATAAGAAATACTGCAACTTATTTCTGGTAACATATTGCAAAGCGAAACAGCTTGAAAAGAAAAAAAAAATTAAAAAAGAAAAGAAATTAAGTCAATCAAACTGGAATTAAGGTTTTGTTTCTTGGAACGATCGAGTCCTCGCAAGCACAGCTCGTTTCTGCAGATTACTCCCCAAACTGTCGTACAAACAGACCCCGATTGCTTGAATTCCTTATGAGCCCACAGAGGTGCAACATTAAAAGCTACGATTATCGGGTAGCAAGTGCCCCAACCTTCGTCCTCCACGGCAGCCCCAGTGACCCCGGCGTTAACGGGTTGTGAACGTCTTCCCCCTGAAAGGATGCAGAGAGAGGTCAGCACCGCCCCTGGCACTGTTCTGGGGTGCCCCAGGGTGGCTACGGGGCTTTTAGTGGGGCACATGCTTGCACTGAGCTCCCAAAGCCTAGCATGCACCGCTGGTTCAGAGCTCACAGGCATTTGTGGCTGCAGAACCAGGTTGCGTGGCTGTGGGGAGGGGTTGGCTTTCGCAGAGGGGACAACCCTGTTTTCCCAGAGCAAAACACAAAGGGGGCATGCCAGGACACACAGAAAAAGGACACCGAGGGGCTCTAGGATCAGCAGAAGGTAAAGGACCTGAGGGAAACATGTTCATGCAACTGTTCTCCTCCACCCACGTCGCTCTCAGCTGCTTTATTCACAAGAGGGAGCCAGCGAGGTGGCCCAGGAGTGCTCCTGGCCCCAGCTGTCTGCTGGCCAAGAGCAGCCTGGGGCTCCAAGGAGCTGCAGGCGCACGGGGCAGCTGGAACCTACTCCAGCACCTGCAGACCCCCAGGAAGGACCTGGCCGCTCCTTCCCCATGAGCTGGAGCTGCCCCCCTGAGCCGATCAGCCAGCTTTAATACAAGAGGGGAAAAGCCCCACAAATACCACCATGGGCTCAGAGGGGACAAGGGAGACACCAGGGCTCGCAGAACTGTGTACGAGCCCTCTTGCAAAGGGCCTGCCAGCACAGGGTTTGCCACAGACCCAGCTCCCAGACAGGACACGTCAGGGAGCACAGGGGTCCCGGGAGGCCAACACCCCCTATCCAGTCTTTCCCCTCAAGGCACCCAGGCAAGCACCTCACGATGAAACACACCCCTTCTCTCTCAGATGGGGCCCCAGCACATCAGGCCCTGGTCTGGTCACCCCCACAGCACCCCAGTTCTCCCCAGACCAGAGCAGCATTGCATGCTGAGGAGTGAGCTTGTGGC